TTATGTTAGAAGCTCTAAGTTTAGTTTTTTTATGGCAGAAGCTCTAAGTTTAGTTTTTTTATGTTAGAAGCTCTAAGTTTAGTTTTTTTATGGCAGAAGCTCTAAGTTTAGTTTTTTTTTATGTTAGAAGCTCTAAGTTTTGTTTTTTTTTTATGGTAGAAGCTTTTAATTTGTTGTTTTTTTATTGCAGAAGCTCTGAGTTATGTTTTTTTATGGCAGAAGCTCTGAGTTTTTTCTTTTTTATGGTAGAAGCTCTGAGCTTTATTCACTCTTACAGAAAGACTCCTTTTGCTCCAACCCTCTGCACTGACTGATGGCTGACCATAAAGTTCAGCTCCTAACCGCCGTTCATCTAAGCGGACAGCAGCAATAATCCCTCCTCCTTTGCCCACTCATGCACCCACGCCGGTCCAGCGTATCATCCAACATCACCAACAGCTACCGTTACACTGGAGGGGCGCCTGTTCAGGTCGCGGTGGCGCGTCACGGGAGCGCGCGCACACACCGTGGGCTGCTCCTTTTTGCGCATACAGCTGTGGTTCGGCGTGAGACACGCGGGCTGGTTACCGAGTTGATTTATTCTCGGTGTAGTTTGGAGAGGAGGCATCAGGGGAGAAGCTTCAGCGCAAACGGGAGGCTGAGGAGCGGACATGTCAGGATGCTGATCCCAGCAGAGTCAGCGGGAGCTGCAGCTTCTCCTCATCAGCACCAGCCCGGTTCATCCTCCCTCTAACTTTTTTTTTTTTTTTTTAACCAGCCGAAGTTGTTAGTTTTGGGGTCCAGTTGTGCTCCGCTCCGCCATGGTGGCTTCCCCGGTCCACGGAGCGCTCCTCCTGTGTGCCCTCCTCCAGCTGTTCCCTCTACCCGGCGGACAGGCGCCAAACTGCCAGGAGGTGCGCACTGCGTTTTACGCTCTGCACCCCGGATCCAAGTGGGTCCCCGAAAGCCCGGTATCAGGTAACCATCACAGCTTCCAGAGTTTATGTTCGAAGTTTTAAAACTGCACTTTAATTATGTTTATTTCTCACGCTGCCCATCTTTACGCTCAAAGCTTCTCTGATAAAAAAAACAAAAACAATCGCCCACGCTGAGCGTCTGGTTAATGATGGTCCCTCCTGCAACAAGCTTCCAAAGAATCAATTTGTTCTCATATTGAGCCAAACACTAAAACAACTTACCAGCAATGCTGATACTTTGATACTCTGCAAAGTTTATATTTAAGCCAAAAAAACAAACAATCAAAAAATCTTTACTTTGTCTTAGAAAAAAGTTCTTCTTGAACTTTTCTAGATTTAGTTTAATTTCGCTGTATATGGAGATTGTGTGACTCTCCAGCAGTGATTATTCCCACTGATCCCTGCAGCTCTTTATTGGAGGGAAAATGCTTTATGGTTTTTAGCAGTGCAGCTTTTACTTTAAACAACACATTTCAGGACCACATTTTAATGCAGTTAATTATCAGTTTTTAACCCTTTATAGGGCAAGTTTGCATATTTGATCACTTGCATAGATCTTACAAATGGACTCTCCCCTTGTGCCTCAGTGTGGTCTAGAAGCACAAGATCTATATCCAGCCATTTAGCAAAGATGCTGCTACATGGCTGTACATCTTATTATGGCATTTGACCAATTAGATGAGCAACTGAATGATATATTACCTAATGTAAATTAATCTGAATAAAAAAATATAAAAAGTCAAGAAAAAAAAGGTAAAAAGCTAATTGAAAAGTTAAAAAGTAAAGTTAGAAAGTTGATAAGCCAAGGTAACAATTATATTTAGGTTTATAAACCAGCATTAATGCCTCTAAGGTTATGTATTACCAAAAAAAAACGTTTTTTTTTTACTCTCTGAGTGTTCTTCATGAATTTCTTATAGAAGCACTTTTGTTGTTTTTCTTAATATATTCAGGAAAGTTGGCGTTTCTTGTTATTACATTAACATTCATTTTTGCCATCAAAATATCCATATTTTCTTAATGTTACAAAGGTAAGGTAAGGTCTTGTTCTGTCCTCCAATAACTATTGGCTTGAAATTTTGATTTTCAAAGTATTTCGCTGAGTGCCCTATAAAGGTTAAGATCAGACTTTGACTGGACTAAAAAAAAAGCCACGCTCTAGTATAGAAGGAGTTTTCCCACAGCATGATACTGCCTGCATCTGTTATATTTATGATTATATACCCCAATCGTTTTCTCCCAACACAACGATCTGCATCTAAGCCAGAAAGGTATGTTTTAGTTAAAGTACTTTTTTCCACTTGTTATGATGTTTAAAGGTGATTTCATGTGGTCTTCTTCCATCAATAGCCCCGATAAACGAACATTTAAGGAGACAGCTCATCTTCCCCTCTGAGCTGTGGATCTCTGCAGCTCCTCCAGAGTTAGCATGGTAATGGCTGCTGTTGGCCCTCCTTTGACAACCATGTCTGTCTGTTAGAGTATACTCTTCCCATTTAAGATGTACAGTCCCTCCTCACAACTTTCTCTCTTGATATGATGCACTCCGTGCACTAAGCTTGTCTCACATGCCTTTGAGGTTTGTTTGAGAACCCGCATCAAAAAGGACGTTTAAATCTGTGGTCAGATAATAAAATGAGCATCATTTCTTTCTTTTGATACTAAATGCATCGTGTGTGCACGTGGTAAAAGGGAGCCATAACGATCCCCTGTTCTGTTGTGGGGAAAACCGCGTGTCATGATTCATTTGAATCACGAAGCCTCTCTGCGGCTAAATAACAGCCAGATGCAAATGCTAATTGGGTGTTTCAGTGTCATGTCAGCATGGGGAGCTGCTCTGCGTTAAAAGATTTCTCTCCAGACTCAGCAGGGGATCCTCGCACCGCGCACTCCTACACCACTGTAAGAGGTTTACAAAATAAAACCAAATTCTCCGTCTACATGAGAGAGCGAGGCAAATTAAGAAATACTATACGAATTAGACAGCAGGGAGGAAAGCCAGATGCACTTTGAGACCTGTTTTGTCATGCTCCCTGCGGTAGAGGTGCACACAGCTCCACTGGCTGAACCCTCTGCTCCTCCGCACATCCATCTTTAATCACACACCTTCCACCCAGGCCATCCAGCGTTTTATCTGGCAGCCAGAGGGCGAAACATCGCAGCGGGCTGAGAGAAATATTTAGCCTCCCCAAAGCCAAGGCAGAGTAGGTCAGGCTACTTTCAGTCTGAGAGTTGGTGTTGGATCCTCCTCATGTGAAATCACTTCACAAGCCTGCAGCAGGGTTCCTCTCTCTCAGCTAGAAGGGTTACAGTCCGGTTAATTAGAAAGAATTTTGCATTTAACATCCTAAAAACAAGTGATCCAGTTTGTTTTTCTCATTCTTTTGCATAGAAACAAACTTCATGAATAAATCAACCTGTTTGGAACAGCGGAGGTGTGTTATTGCTGCAATGCCAGGACGTCAGTGTCAACACAAAATTAGAGGAAATAACTCTTACTCAAACATTAATGCGCCTGAGTAGACATAATTGTCTACTTATTATCTTAAAAATGCCAAAGAGAAGCTTTCATTCAGTTATTGTTAGACAGACAGGCTGTGTTTTCAACCTTTTCACTTTATTTTTTTTTTGTAATTGTTTTTCTACTGCTGTAAAGTGCTTGTTGTGTTGTTTTATAGATGGTAAGGACAGATTAACGTTCTCAATTTAGCTGATTCTAGTTCTTCGGCCACATTTGGGAGATTTTCTTTCAGAAAATAAGTTTCTTTTCACATTTAGGAGCCTACCTGTTTTTTCAAAAGATACAATTTTGACAAATCCCCTTCTCTTTTGCTGGTTACCTTGAAAACGTACAAAAGTTAAAAGAAGTCTTGCATGGTACCAGGAAATGGTTAAAAAAAGAGTTTAGGTCAGTTTCCAAGTCTATAGTATAAAGGAGAGCACATACAGATTGTCTCAAAAACCTCAGCCTGTAGTGATTTCTATAAGAGAGACGGAAGTAACAACTAAAGGACAGTGCAAAATATACCTCCTACAGAAGGAGAGCATGAAGTTGCAGCAGTCCAGCCAATGCTCCCCTCCAAGACGGTTTCACATCTTAACAGAAGGGCAGCCAAGATGGAGCTACTATGGAGAGAAACATGCAGAGAACATGATAGGTGAAATTACAGCAAATATTGCAAAATCCGTTCTTTATGTCCTCCAGTGGCCCAAGCCTATTGCAGCATCTAATAACACGTGGCTATATCTCATAGCAACCACTAGATAGTAAACTTATTGATATCTAGAGAATGTAGAGGGCCAATATCAATTTCTGATAGCTAACAAATAAAAAATGATACTTTATTTCATTACGCTTTTAAAACCCCGAGAAAAACATTGTCACATGACCAACCGCTCCTGTTAGCCACCAAAATGCATAGAGAAGCAAAAACAATATGGAAATAAACAGTTATTAAAAATCCCTTTTTATGAGATACGATAGGTAGAGGGCATATGCAGCAATTTCAAAAATTCCTGCTGAGAGAAAAATGAGACTGGTAAACACAAAAATGACAATAAAACAAACACACAAAAACATGTATAGGAAAATACCAAAAAATCTTCAAATTAACAGTATAGTGGAGGATGTTCTTTTGCTGGTGGATCATCAAAATAAGTGGTCCTTCTAATTGTCAGTCATTCTGGTGGTATGTTTATGTAAGGCTGTCCTATGTGCTTGTCCCCATTTTCACTTACCAGTGGTGAGTCTCACATGATGGAAAAATTACAAATCTTCTTTTAGAACTTAAGCTTGCATGAGCGATGGAAACAGCAACTTTTCAACAGAGTGTGCACAAGTTGAAATGGGCTCTTTCACGCTCTCGCATGCGTTTCATAGGTGTACAGAGTTGTGCATGTGCATTATTTTATTTTATTATTTTAAACTGGGGGGGGGGGGNAATGGCTGCTGTTGGCCCTCCTTTGACAACCATGTCTGTCTGCTAGAGTATACTCTTCCCATTTAAGATGTACAGTCCCTCCTCACAACTTTCTCTCTTGATATGATGCACTCCGTGCACTAAGCTTGTCTCACATGCCTTTGAGGTTTGTTTGAGAACCCGCATCATAAAGGACGTTTAAATCTGTGGTCAGATAATAAAATGAGCATCAGCTCATTCTGTTGATACTAAATGCATCGTGTGTGCACGTGGTAAAAGGGAGCCATAACGATCCCCTGTTCTGTTGTGGGGAAAACCGCGTGTCATGATTCATTTGAATCACGAAGCCTCTCTGCGGCTAAATAACAGCCAGATGCAAATGCTAATTGGGTGTTTCAGTGTCATGTCAGCATGGGGAGCTGCTCTGCGTTAAAAGATTTCTCTCCAGACTCAGCAGGGGATCCTCGCACCGCGCACTCCTACACCACTGTAAGAGGTTTACAAAATAAAACCAAATTCTCCGTCTACATGAGAGAGCGAGGCAAATTAAGAAATACTATACGAATTAGACAGCAGGGAGGAAAGCCAGATGCACTTTGAGACCTGTTTTGTCATGCTCCCTGCGGTAGAGGTGCACACAGCTCCACTGGCTGAACCCTCTGCTCCTCCGCACATCCATCTTTAATCACACACCTTCCACCCAGGCCATCCAGCGTTTTATCTGGCAGCCAGAGGGTGAAACATCGCAGCGGGCTGAGAGAAATATTTAGCCTCCCCAAAGCCAAGGCAGAGTAGGTCAGGCTACTTTCAGTCTGAGAGTTGGTGTTGGATCCTCCTCATGTGAAATCACTTCACAAGCCTGCAGCAGGGTTCCTCTCTCTCAGCTAGAAGGGTTACAGTCCGGTTAATTAGAAAGAATTTTGCATTTAACATCCTAAAAACAAGTGATCCAGTTTGTTTTTCTCCCTCTTTGTCATAGAAACAAACTTCATGAATAAATCAACCTGTATGGAACAGTGGAGGTGTGTTATTGCTGCAATGCCAGGACGTCAGTGTCAACACAAAATTAGAGGAAATAACT